TATTTAAACTCAATCAGTTTTATCATAAAACCAACCATTTCATGTTCCCAGTGCTCACTTATTTTTACATACTAGGTATTGGTACATATATGAGTATTTTTTACAGAATTCTATAAACCAATAGGCTTTTCCTGTAATTATTTCCCTTTGGATATGGAGATGCATCTCCTCCTAACGGTAAGTAGACTACTACATGCACATATATTATCAGACGCTGGATACATGTAATATGAGATATGGATAGATAGCTTTAGACTGAAATCTCGTAAACTTAAAACTGTTGGAGGACTTACACCAGACAAGTTGTTGAGAAGCGGTGAGTCGACGATATGGTAGTATCGTTTCCACCAAAGTCTGGGGGCAGAATAAGCAGAGAATCCTGCTATCCACATTATTTATAGACACTTCGAAATACACGCACAGACGCAGAGACGCGTTCATTGGCTAATTGCCTGACATTTTCTTAGAAAAAGGATTTGATTGGCTGTAACTTTTAGTGCCTTTGACATTTTTATTCACTGGTTCTTTTCCTGAAGCACATGCGCACTGTAGTATACTTATGATACTATAGGTGGAGATTCAAGCAAGCAACTGAGTGTTATAAGGTTTCAAACATCTTTTCGTCATCATTGTGTTTACAGCTTAGATTATCTGTACAGTACATGCGAAAAGTGGATTTTACTAATCATTTAGAAAAAAAGAAGAGAAACTACGCAACCGTATTATTTACATGTCATCAAAATGACGTTAAAGGATAATCACAGTCATATGTATAAAATGTTCAATCAGACAAAAATGAATATCATGTTTAAACGGAGATGCTGTTTATAGAGAATATAACAAATCATTTTCAGACGAAATGATAGTAACTGTATCTATTGATTTTAGTGTTGTTAGTCTGTTGCTACACCATACTATTTTAATTTCTAATCAATATTATTTCCTTTATTTTTCACTTTTTGACATTTCATTATTATCATTACTTATCTTTGTCTTTCATTTGTCTTCGTTATTATAAATGTTATACTCATTATCAGCTACATGATTATTATCATTCCCATCTTTAGAATAATTATTGGTTCTATTAGTACTGATGTCTTTATCATTGTTGTTATTATAGATATTAACTAATTATTGTTTTTGATGTTTTTGTTTCTATTATTACACTGAAAGTTTTTATTATTAAGAATTTTATTGTTATTACTATAATTCTTCTTATCACTATTATCATTAATATCATTGTTATCATTAGTATCATTATCCTCCTTATTACTCTCATTGATGATATTATTGATGTTACTATTGTTATCTTTATTATATTCATGATCATCATTGTTGTTGTAGTTGTTGTTGTTATTATTATTGTTATTATTATTATTATTATTATTATTATTATTATTATTATTATTTCTTCTATTCACAAGATTAATGTTATATCTTGGTTAATGAGCTGCAATAGCGGACCACAACCAGAGGTCTTAGATATTGCAGCATCCCTAATTTCTTCATTTCATGTCCAAGACTTTCCGAATAATTCTGGCTGTTCCAAGTAAACAAGGCTTTTGTAACATTTCTGCTGTTATTCCCAAATCTAGCTTTTGAATCCATTTTTCAAAGTCTTTCGTCACAGATCCTAATGCCCCTACAACTACAGGGATTACTTCAACTTCTTTCATTCTCCACATTCTTGCAATCTCATATTTCAAGTCGCAGTAATTGTTGCACTTTTCTTCTTCTTTCCTTTCAATGCGAGTGTCAAATGGGCATGCTGGGTCGATAAGAAGGCATTTTTTGCTATTTTTCTCAATTACAGTGATCCGGTCTATTGTGTTCCAGTGTCTTGTCTGTTTGTATGGGGAAATCCCATAAAATCTTGCACTCGTTGGATTCCAATACTTTTTCAGGCTTGTGTGTGTACCACTTATCAGATTTCTCAAATCCCCATTTTTCACATAATTTCCAGTGGATCACTTTTGCAAGATTGTCATGCCTAACTTCTTTGTATTCCTTCTGTGCTAGTTTCTGGCATTCTGACACAATATGTGCCACTGTTTCTTCTGCAGCACCACACACTCTACAACTTGAATCAATATCCTCTCCATAGACTTGTTTCCTCAAATTTCTTGTGCAAAGGGCTTGATCTTGTGCTGCTATGATTGTACTTTCTGTTTCTTTTTTCAAATATCCTTTTCTTAGCCAATCCCATGATTTATTGCTCTTTACTTTCACCGTAGCTTTATGGAACTGTCCATGCAATCCTTTATTCTCGTATCTCTCTTTATGACTTTTCTGTATATCCTCTCTGCTCTGCCCATGCTTCTTGTTCTCAAGAATACTACTGATGTTTACTTCCTTCAACATGTTTTCTTCTGACGCACGTAAGTACTTATCAAGACTGTTGACTTCTGCCTGCACACAGTCTTCAACACCAAGCAAGCCTCTTCCACCATCATATCTTTTCAAGTACAACCTATCAACATCTGCTTTTGGGTGTTGCGCCCCATACATTGTCATCAGCTTTCTTGTTTTCCTGTCCATTTCCTCCAATTCATTCTTTGTCCACTTTATGATTCCTGCTCCGTATCTGACAACTGATACCGCTCTTGAATTAATGGCTGTGATTATATTTCCTCCGTTTAACTTTGATTTCAATATGTTTCTGACCCTTCTGGTATATTCTTTCTTTACTTGATCTTTCATTTGATCATGCTTTATTCCATCCACTTCCAAGACCAAAATACTTGTATCCACTTTCCTCAATATTTCTCATCATTGCACCATCTGGCATGCAGAGGCCATCGCTTTCAACTACTTTTCCTCTTTTTATGATTAGCACTCCACATTTAGATAATCCAAACTCCATCTTGATATCTTCTGAGAAAATTCTGACTGTATTTACTAAACTATCAATTTGATCTTTATCTTTGCGAATAATTTCAAGTCGTCCATGAAAAGTAAATGGTTAATTCTTTCTCCTTTCTTCTTTACTTCATAAAAGATATTTATTTTCCTTAGCAACAGCGTCAACGGGATCATCGTCAAAACAAACAGCAGTGGTGATAAACTATCCCCCTGAAAAATTCCTCGCTTTTTTTTACGTTTCCAAGTCTGGTTTGGCCCGCATTTAATTCTGTGTTCCACTTTTTCATTGACTCGCTTATGAAAGACTTGACATTGACTGCTATTCCAAACATATCCAAACATTTTTCTATCCAGCTATGAGGGACCATATCGTAAGCTTTACGATAATCAATCCATGCAACAGCTAGTGAAGTTAAACGTGTTTTACAATTTTTCAAGATCATTTTGTCAATTAGAAGTTGGTCTTTAGTCCCACGGCTTCCTTTTCTGCAACCTTTTTGTTCCCATGTCAATAATGCTGCTTCTTCAAGATAATTATACAATTCTTCCGCTATGATCCCAGTCAGTAATTTCCACAGCAGCGGCAAGCATGTAATTGGCCTAAAATTGTCAACTGCGCTTCCTTTTGCCAAATCTTTTACACAAAGTACTGTTTTCCCTGTCACCATCCATAGTGGCACGCTATTTTCTTGGAGACACTTATCCAGTTGAATTGCTATCTTACCATGCAAATTAGTCAAATTCTTTATCCAATACCCTTGCACTCCATCAGGACCAGGGCTTTTCCAATTCGGTATTTTCCTTATCTGCTTTCGCAATTTCGGTGTCTCGATACGTATGTCTTCTTGCACTCCTACTCCTGCTAACTCATCCTCCACATTCTTCAACCACTCTGGATTCTCCTTGTGTTTTACTGAATTGTCCCATATGTCACTCCAGAATCTAGTACTTTCCTCTGCATCAGGTACCACCATTTCCCTTTTCACTCCATCTAATTCATCGAACAATTTCTTTTGGTTTGATTCAAACAAGCGATTCTGTCTGTAATGGCTTGTCCTATTGTCATATCTTTCAAGTTTTGCTCCGATTGCAACTAACCTTTGTTGAACTTCTTCATAAACTACAGATACTCCCTTTTCTTCAATGCAATATTTCCTTTCGAGTTTTGTTATTGTACCTTCATTTCTCAACTCATTTCTTTTCATTCTATTCAACTGGCCTAAATCCTTGCGCAAAACCTTCTGTTTGTCCAAAATTCTTCTCCTCCAATGCGGTGTCTTGTCTTCCTTCCTAATCATTGCCCTATACCCCACCAACTCCGATACAACATTTCCAGCTGCACGCAATACTATGTTTGTTTCCGTTATTGACTTAGTTCTGATTATAGCTAGGACTTTGTTCACTTTCATTGTAGCTGCTTTGACTTTCTTCCTATCACTATATCTGAGGTTTGGAGGGCTCTTTTCCGGATTTTGTCTGATCTCATTCATTAATTTTCGCAATACTTCTTTTTCTTCTTCCTCGTAGTTTTCAATCTCCGCTCTTCTGATCAACATATCATCATCTTCAGGAAACATCCAGTTTTCTTCTCTTTCATCTTCGGGCTCTTCTTCTTGCTGCTCATCGAAAGGCCTATCACCTGTCTCTCTTGTGAGTTCTTGATCAGTGCCACTTTGAATTACCATTTCCTGTTGTCCTTCAACATCACTTCCTTGTATAGCTTGTTCTTCTTCCGCTTCCTCATTGTTGACTGCATCGCCAGTTTCTTCGCTGTGACTATTCGCACACCTTCTTTCAATTTCCTCAATTTCCATGTCTGTAAGCCATTTATTCACCCGAATTTGCCTGGCTTGATCTGCTAATCTTTGCTCTGTGATGGGGAACACTCCTATTTCGTCCCATATCTGCTTCATTCTCTGCCTGTACTTTCTTTTTGTGGGTTCACTTCTTATCCAGCATTCAATCACAATCTTGTTCACTTCCTTTTCCCATTTCATTCGTTGGTTTATCCGACCCGTAGCCTGATGACGACCTGCAGGAGCCGGATCGGAAGCTCCTTGCCTGCCGGGCGCGACACCTTCACCCTGATGGGCTCCGGCCTCGTTGACGCCGTTATGTTCAATTTCAATATTTGACATTTCACTCAATTAGAGGGCGTGTTTTATGGTTACCACCAACCAGTATTTTTATCGAGATACCATCTCTAGAAAGATTGTCAGCCAAGACTAAAGAGCTCTTTCTACCCATGAGGCAAGGCTATTCCCCGCCGGACGCCAACCCGGTATTTCAAGACCACGGGGGTATTATTATTATTATTATTATTATTATTATTATTATTATTATTATTATTATTATTATTATTATTATTACCATTACTATTATTATCATTATCATTATCATTACTATTATCATTATCATTATTAGTAGCAGTATCGCTATTATAATTATTATCCTTATTGTTATTATCACTATTATTATTATCATTTATATTATCATTTGTATAATTACTGCTATTATTATTATCATCATTATCATCATAATTATGATGATTATTATTATCATTATCATTATCACCATTATAATTATATTTGTTTTATTATTTTTATCATTATCTTTATCATTATTATTATTTACAATGATAATTATATTTTCAATAAAAAATCATAATATTGTTGTTATTATCATTATTGTCATGATCATTATTATCGCTGTTATTATTATCATTATTGTTATTATCATCATCATCATTACTATTATTATTACTGTTATTATTGTTATTATTACTGTTATTGTTATTGTCATTTTATCATTATGATCGCTATTACTATAATTACTAATATTATTACCGTTGTAATTATTGTTATTATCATCATTATTACTTAAACTGTTATTAAGATTCTTATTATTATTTATGCTATTATTATCATTATTATTGTTCCTGAGCCGAATTCATCGCGAAAACTGTAGAAAAGGTATGAATGAAAATAAATATCTTCACAAAACAAGAGATGTATTTAAAAGGTTTCGAATATGTAGACCTGTATTTCTCATGTGAAGGTAGATTCAAAACCGATTTAATATATATTTCGTATTGTGAATATATTCATTTTCATTCATACCTTTTCTTGCTGCTCTTGTTGTTTTTGTTACTTTTTATCATTGTCCTATTTCTTGTTATTATTACTATTATTGTTATTATTATCATTATTATCATTATTGCTATCATTGGTATTATCATTATTATTGTTATTCTTATCATTTTTTAATTATTGTTATCAATATCATTAATCTTATTACCATTATAAGATTCAATCTGAATATCATTTCATTGGCATTATTATCATCACTATCATAAACATTATTATTATCATTATCATTTTTATTGCTATCATTGCTACCATTATTATTAGCAGTAGTATTAGTAGCAGCAGCAGTAGTAAGGTTTTTCATATTATTACTATTATCAGTAATGTTATTCCAAATATTATTTTTATTATGATCATTATTGCTGTTGTTGTTGTAGTTATCCTTGTTATTATTATTGTTATTATGTTCTTATCATTATTATTATTATTATCATCATTAATTATCATTATTAGTATCATTATTATTGTTTTATTATTATTATTAATATTTTTGTAATTATTGTTATTATTATTGTAATTAACAATTGTAATTATTGTTATTATTGTCATCACTGTTGAAATTATCATTATCATAATTATTATTCTCATTCTGTTATCACTATATTTTAATCATATTATTGCTTTTAGTATTATTGTCCTTATTATCATTACTATTATCATTGTGATTACTATTATCATTATCATTGTCATTATTATCATTTCTGTTAATTGTCAATACCATTGTAATGATATTTTTATGATAATCATTATTATCATTATCATTATATTGTAATCTAATTATCATTATCATAAAATATATTATCATAAATAATGCTATCATAATGATGATTATCACCATCATCTTTATTATCAATGTCATTGTTCTCGTTATCAAGATAATGATAATTATATCTGTGATTAAATGATTATGATAATTGTCAATATAATTTTTGTTGCTTAATTATTATCATTACTATTTTCATTATTATCACTATTATCATTACATTACAATCATTTCCGTATTTTCATCATCATTATTACTATTGTTATTGTCATTAATGTCATGTTTATATTATCATCATCATTATTTTTTTATTATTATCATTGTTATTATTATTATTATCATTATTATTATCATTTTCATCATCCTCATCCTCATCATCCTCATCATTATTGGTATAAGTATCATTACTATTAATATAATTATAATTACCATTATTGTCATTATCATTATAATTGTGATTATTATTGTTCTTGTCGTTTTTGTTGTCATTTTTGTTATTATTATTATTATTATTATTATTATTATTATTATTATTGTCACTATTATTTATCATTATTGTTATTATTATTACTGTTATTATTATCATTGTTATTATTATTATTGTTATTTACTATAATTAACAATATTATTTTCATCATCGTTATTGTTATCACTATTACCGTTATTATTACCATTCTTATTATCAATAATTATTGATATTATTATCAAAGTATTATCACTACTAGCACT